ACGAAGGCAAAGAGTGTTTGGAACTGCATGGAAGTTAGTGACACTAACGACCGGACCCTGGCATGGGGTCCCTGGACATTCGGGGCATAGAGGCAACGAAAAGGTTGACATGCTTAACAGCCTGCCATAAAAAAGGATCAATCTTAAAATGGTTCCTTTATGAGTCCAAAACCTGGTGGAACAATACCACAGGTGTGAGGCACGCGAAGAGATTCATAGAAGAACCATCCGCAAGATTTACAAAAACATTACTGGAAGACAATCGCAACCGAACCAAGATTCTGGTTGGACTCCTGACACAGGGCACTGGCACTTAAGAAAGCACATGCACCGGATAGGAGCACAGACATAAGAAACACAGATACTGCCAGGAAGAAGAGGAGACCGCAGAACACATTTTATGTTTCTGTGAAGGTGTATGAACGTGCAGATTCTTGCAACTAGAATAAGAAAAACCACAAGCAAGATCCTACACTAAGGAGCCGCTGACATGCTTTGGAGGCTGGTTAATAACCTGAAGCTGGCCAGTGAGTTATAAATAACAGGGAAGCACAATAGATCTATTCAGGTCGAGGTGCAGTAGGCCTTGTGGCCGCTTCTTTTATCCCTATCCTATCCTCCTCTTGATGCTATCTTGTTGACCGACATAAATTTAAAATATATTTTATTTGTGAATTTGTTTTCAAACTAATTTGTTTTTAAAATATCAATTTCTAAAAGAATTTAAAGGTTGATTCTGCAATCTAATAAGCAGTGATTCATCTAAAACTTGGGTACAATGGCCGTCTCCTATACTTGGGTGTCATACATGCTAAGCGACCAAACTTTAAAAACAGAAAATTTTCAAGCACGATTTTCTTTTCAAACAATGACAGTTGATTTTTGAAATTAAAGAAAAATAATTATTCATTCCTAAAAGGGTGTAAAGACTGATTCTACAATAGCTTCTGGTGCGAATTTATTGCAAACTTGGGTATAATCACTGTCTCCTATAATACTTTGTGCGACACTTGTATGAGTCAAAATCCAAAATATACTTTATTTATGATTTTTTTTCAAACAATAATTATTACTTTCTAAAAATGTTAAAAGATTGATTCTGCAATCAATTCCGCAGAGAATTCATCACGAACTTAGGTATAATTTTTTCATACTAATAAATATATGTAGGAGCCAACTTGATAAGCTATTTACATAAAAAAAATACATTTTCAACAATGAATTTCTTTTTAAACAACTATTGATTTTTTAAATTGTTTAAATATTGATTGAGCGATGGGCTAGGCAGCGATTCGTCGCGAACTTGGGTAGTGACCATCTCCTATACTGGTGTACCACATATATATTTACTTGTTTAGTGATTCAAATTTATAAATATAAGATTTATTTGTACATTTCTTTTCAAACCAATATTATTAATACCTAAAAGGATTTAAATATTGAATGTACAATAGGTTTGGCAGTGAATTTATGATGAACTTAGGTATAATTTTTTTTCTTCTCCTATACCTGGATTCCAACTTAGCAAGCTATTGGGTATAGTGACCGTCTCCTATACTACATACACTTACATATTTAGCAACTTAAATTGATAAATATACGATATTTTATTTGTACATTTCTTTTTCGTACAATAACTTTTAATTTCTAGATTGGTTTAAATATTGATTGTGCAATCTGTTCGGCAGCAAATTAACTGCAAACCTCAATATAATGATCATCTCTAATTCATGGATTAGCGACTTACATTTTAAAAATAGATCTTGTATAAAGCTGCAAGGTAATGAGAAATGTCATCTTTGTGCTATGTAGAAGAAATAATCAATGGTTGTAATTTATGTAAATTTATTCGTAATGAGAAATTTATTGCTTTGAACAATTAACTTTTGTTAAAAAGGATAAGGATAAAAGGTTCATCCTGAATCGGTTCTCGTCGGCAGTTATTTCAAAATAAATGATTTTGAGCATGCCAGACCTTTCCACTGAGCTGTCAAAAGCAGTTTTCAGATCAAACGCTGGCTTCCCTCGTCTTCCTATGAACATACGTTCAACCCAAGTCAAGTAAGTTTGCGTAGATTGCACACGTTCCTTTTATGTTTTTAATGATAATCTCTTGCTTTCGTTTCATACCGATCTTTGTAGGTTGTTAAACCATACCGGTTTGAAAGGGTCTAATTACATTTCATTCACCGTGACAACCCCGTGGGAATTTAGGCGATGGCTTGATAAAAAAATAATCTGACAATAGCTATCATCGTGAGCTTCTAGCTAATGTCTGCGGGGTGATGAACTGTAGTTTGTTCGTCTACCGTCCTTGTTTATAATGTAACTCGCTTTCACATAACATCAGTTCTGAATTTCGTGAATTAAAATTTAGGATAAAGACTCCCCTAAATTACAGCCTATTTAGAAAAGTTCTTATAAACAGTAAATTTACTCTTTAAAATAATTTTGATCTTTAGATTTGAAACTGTTCATGGAGAGAGCTCAGTGCATATCTCTGTTCTGTAGAAACTAGAGAAGAAAAGGACATCAAACTTCTGAGAGGACTAAAGACTAGTATCAAAGCTACGAATTGCACAGTTCATCAAATATATTAACTGATGAAAACTAGGAATGTAATTTTATGTACAAAAAACAACAACTTTATTTTGTTGAAGAATAACAGTTAAATATATTTTTCTAGCTATTTTGCTTTTCAATCTATATATTTACTTTTCTGCTTTTTCAGGAGGATTTGCTCTTAATTAAACATTGCAACCAGACTATAATACATTATCTGGATTTGTAAACATAAATAAATGTGCAATGAAGAATATTATGTATATTTCTTTTCGTTATGTTATTTACTTAATTAATTGTCGATGATGTTTTTTGGCGTTGAAAAATCGATTATCTCGTTTCATCATTTTTAAATTTGTATAAAATTCATTGAGTTTATACAAATTTAAGTTTTTAGTTGGATATTGTAAATTCAATGGAATACAGGAACCTGAGATAATTGTAATTTACCTACCATTCTTCTATATGTCTTTGGAACAACTCGAGAAAGCCGGTGGCCATTTTCATTTGATGTAAAACCAAACTTTTTTTGTACAATGCATACATTATTATATAAATTTTATTTTGTTGTTTACTTACAAGATTTGATTTAAGTTCTTATTTCTAAGTTACATTAATTTAGGGCCAACTGGACATACTGCTGGCTGGTTGCCATTGCCATTTAATGTAAAACAAAACATTTTATTTTGTACATAGCTCATATATTTTTCCATTTTTTAAACTAATAATATATAAATAATATTTATTGTTTTAGTAATATCATTTTATTTAAATTATCACTTCTCTGTTTTTATAAATTAAGGTCAACTCGTCGGACGGTTAGAAGCCATTGTTACTTCATGTTAAAAAAAATTTCCCATTAGTTTCGCTTATAAACAATTTTTCATTACTAATAATAATGTATATATCCTATTAATTTTTTATTTATTGTTTATGTTAGAAAAGTTAAAAAAGTTGAAAAAATAAAAAGTTTATTTATAACAATATATTTATATTATTATTTTTGCGTATTTATAATTTTGGGCCGACCAGGTAATAGAAGCCGATAGCCATTGTCACGAACTTAAAAAAAACAACCCTACAATTTTGGTAATAAAAATTGTATCGTTTACTTTATAGTTTCTAGCATTTCAGAAATTTAATTTTACACACAAATTGACAAATATTAGGTTCATATAGTACAACTAAAACTACACAACATAATACGTGACTGTGAACTACTACAAGAATACCGGAAAAAGTACAACATAATCTCCAACGACAGAACAACATTAGGCCCTGACAGTGACAGCAGAAATGAATTATTTGCCTAAAGTTTATGGTCATATAGTAACCCCTTCATGGCTTTCACTGAGAGGTGACTGTATTTATTAGAGAAAATAGTTAAGTGTGGACATGGACGAGTCTGAGACGGGATATCAAATACCCCACACACTCGCCAATTGTTTGTAGTATGAAACGAAGGGGTAGAGCACTGGAGCAGTATAAAAAAACCGGTGACAACCCCTGTGATTGTATTAAGCAGGTGAGTCACCGAGTAACATTAAATAGGAATTTATTTATTAGCGTGAACGGCGAGGTTATGAACACCCTGCCGGCTTCCCAACTGTAGTCTTTTAAATAACATAGTGTATATTTTATATTAGTTTTAGCAGTTAGGCAGCAGTTAGCCGGCAAAATAAATGTTCATAAATGTAGGAGTATATTAATGGTTGGACATCTCATGAGCAACATTGTTGAGTGCAATCAATTTATTGCACAATTAAAAATACATTTGATCTTATTTTAGTAAAACGTAGGTAAAATCGTTGAATGTGATTTTTATGATTGCTCAAATTATTATGCGATGTTTTTATTGTGATTGGTTGTTTGTAAAAAGAAACAACATACAGATTTTAAGTTTTAAACTTCAAGAATAATTTAATAAAAACAATTAGTACTAAGTAAGTGTACAATTACAAATGCAGAGGGTCAAATAGGTGTCACAGATAATAAACAATATATATAAATATATATTTAAAAATTAAGATACCATTCTAGTCCAAATCAAGTTAACTTGTGGCTAGTGGTTTAAAAACGTGTTTAAAACCCGCTCTGCGTTCTCAATAATGTTGTATATACCATTTCAACATTTAAACTTTAAACAAGGCAAGGAATCACGTACTTTACGATGATCCGTTGAAAAGCTGATATACAGAAATGGAAAAGTCGATTTGTAAAAGCTTCCATGTTTGCCTTGTGTGTGCGCCAGGACAATAAGACATCACTTTCAACATTAAACATACAAGGGGGTGACTGCAGTGTGCAGTCCTCAGACGATATAACGTACATTTATTTCACAGAACCACCCTTCGCATTACATTAACCCCCTCTACGTTTCAGCGGTGGTGGGGTTCCATGCACCATTCGCCGGCACCAACGCGCATCCCATTTCCCACCAGTCTCAAAACAAGTCTCGTGAGGAGTTGTCGAGCAGGAGCTGCACCAGATGAAAAGTGTTAACAATCATACGACATCATAAGTGTGGAGTGTGTTGATCTCCTCCTATCTATTCGTAATATCGCTTAAGGATTAACGATGTGGTCGTACAAGGTAAGATAAACAAATCGGAAAACAAAATCTAAATAAAATTGCAACACCTGAACTCACTTAATAAGAGTTATTTAATAACTATAAAATGTACAGTTGTAAGTACAATAATCAGAGGTTCGCCTGGTTTTGTATTTGTCGACACTGTCTTCGGCAATTTCCAAGCTCCCTGATTGAACAGTTCATTGTGACAAATCGAGGATTGTGAAATTATACTTATTGAAAATATCAATCAAACCACAGATTCGTTGAGCAATTCGGCCTTAATAACATATAATCACGGCTTTATTACGTTTTAATAACTACAATATAGACAATCTTAAAATTGATTATTGATGATTGCCTGCCAAGATTAGAAATCTAACGTGGCCAATTTAAAAATTCTCATTTTCGATCGAACAACAACTCATCGATTGTCATTTTATGTTTCCTCGATGACATGATATCGACGGCGTGACTAAACGAACTGAAGATTATCGAAGAATACCATAAAGGTCGTACGGTCGTGTCAACTGATAAGACACAACTGCAGGCCTGTTGATATATTTGGACAAAGGTGTCTGAGTATGTTGCAATCAACACGTTGAACATTAATAGTTAATAACTACATATAAGAAAACTATAAATTTGACATATGCCCGGCATTTCTTCTAAGGTCACTATGATCCTTTTAGTCCAGAGTAAAATTTCTTTGTGGGTAAAAAGGTTATAGTTGTTCAAAAGTTCAATATTTCCATATATCCAGATGCTTTAAAACGTTTTTAAAAACACATTTGGTCAAGGTGCGTAACTGTGTGGGCGGACTATCATAGGATCGAACTATTGTCGAGTCAATGGGTCCGCACCGCAGCAGGAGTTGAGGGTGGATTTTATCTCCCGATCTCCTTTAACCAAGGTCGACTGGCTTTTGATTTTTATTTCATGTATCCGCGTTCCCTCCAAAGCCTGGTACTAACTACCTGCTTCCCGCTTTGAAACTAGTTCTAGAAGCTGTTTAAACCCTGATAAAAAGCGAATGGCTAATCATTTCCCTGTTTACAAGTTGAATTATTCGATTGGCAGTTTGCAGGTCTGGTAATGATGTACTTTCAACGGGTCTCGTTAACGAATTCCACCCGCAGGGTGTCTTCAGAAAACGCATGAATATTAGCCATTCTCACTACCCACGGTGGCTTATTTTTTTGGCGTTGGGTTACAGGTTTAAAGTAAACATCCACTTATTATTCCTGCGTATACATCAGTTACGAAAATACAATCAAAGAATTCATCTCCTTGTTTCCCAGACAAATTCTACAAAACGGAAATAGGATACGAGAGTTTTAAGTCTGGCTTAACTTTACCGAGAGATTTCAAGTTGTTTCAAGAATTAAGCTGCTGCTGAAGTAGCAAACTTAGAACCGTCTCCCTTAACTGCAATCTCACGGAATCTCATATTCCAATGAATTCCTGGCCGTCTTCATTCACACCACAAATGCTACCAAATGCAGATAATTTTATAGGAAAAGTTGAATCAAAGACTATCTATCACACTAAGTGAATTTACTAGTATCAATCGCGATATTTTCTTCCGAAGAGGGAGAAAACCGAACAGCTTCACGTTCAAGTCTCGCCGAAGTTTCATTCAAACGCGTTTCACGCCATCTTCAGTGAGGAATTGAAATTCACGCTTGACACTACGACGTCCGATATCACTGATTGAGAAAGCAATTGTTTTTCGTTTTCTAGGACATTTAAATTGAACTTAATTGATATTCACGGCCAGAAATTGCTGGGATTGTAACGTACCATCAGGGTTTCATGTAAAGACATTTCATGGAATCGTATCTTGTCTGTAATCTTTCCAAAAAATACGTCTCTTAAGTATTTTGTTAATAATCAGGCAATAAAGTAAAACATCCTTTATAATTTCATAGAATAAAGGTGCAGTAAAGTAAATAAAATCACCATTCCCTGTCAGCGTTTAGTTGATAAACATTCCGATGGACGCATATATTTTGTAGTTTGTTTTTAAAATATACGTGATTCAATATAAAAAAGTAATAATTTTTAACTATAAACTTTTTTTTAGCTTTGCCGTGTAGGCATCCGCCATTCCAGAACTATAAACTTATCTTCTTTAAATAAATTCTTGTTATCTTGCATATCTTCAAACTGGTTCAAGACTTCTTTTCAAGATGGCGATAATGAAGAATAACATCATTGAACAAACACGAGCCAATATGTGTAAACATATAAACACGCTCTTGATAAAAATGCTATAAATAGATTTTGTATCGGAACCATTTTTCACCAGTCTTTAACTGGCCGTCCTTGAAGTGTGCGGTCTATTTGTTGTTCTTAGGCCATACCTTATATTTTTTCTATTTTTTTTTTTTTTAATTTTTTTTTATATAGCATTCACCATTATTCGACTAAGTTAATATAGGTCAAAATGTTTAAGCCCTAGACGAAAAACACATCTCTCTTTATCCGGCTTGTGAAAGATCGAAGCACTTGACCGATGTTTATATAACTTCGTAATCGTACGATCAGTGAAATGCTGTTAGCATTTTGTTTTTGTACTTTTCTAGGGCGGTTTAGTAACTAGAACCACCTCAGTCACTTGATGAATATTAATGTACTGGATCATTAGGTAAGATGACAACTGTACTAAAAGGGTCATCAATCCAACAATGCCTAGTCAAGATATAACGGATTTTTCCCCTAATCATTTAAAACAGAACAAAACGTGTTGTAGGCCGGAGATTTCATAAAAAAACGGAGAGATACTTTGAAATATTTTGCGGTTTTATTAAATGAGGCCAAGACCCACTACGCAAATAAACAAGGAGGCTTGTAAAACAAAATCCATTTCCAACGTCGTTGAATGTTGTCTGGAGTAGATTGGGCTGTATTGTGACACATTGTACTCTAATGGAGGTTCGTGCTCCCGGCATTGCCTATTGAACACTGCAATTGCGGTTTCTTTTGTTCCCTCATATCCAACGTTCTTTCCTGCCCTTCCCGAACTCGTCACCTCACATTTCTCAAGATTACACCGAGGGTGTAACTTTCATCGCGGCTAAACGGCGACTTTTCACGTGTTAATACGGTTTGTGCAGTGGTGGACTATTTGATCGCTTTTTGTTGCAGTTTTGTCCTTTCCCGACCATATTCGTTGCTCATACACGCTCTGTTTTCGTTTGTAACGATGCGTTTCGACATGTGGTTTATCGCTAAAGGAGGCAAATTTGCAAACCGAATCTGGCAGACTCAACTAGCGAGATCATCCGGACCAGGATGATCGTAAATGACTAAACTACGGTAACAAAAAAGTCAAACAGGTCGATTCGATGTTCTGTTAAAAATGTTCTTACGGTGTTTGCACAAGAATGGCCAGTTTATTTTCTTAAATCATAAATTTAAAATAAAATCATTATAATCCCATGATTCTCAGTCTGCTTTCAATAGAAAATACCTTAAGAAAAATGAAGTTTATTTATCATTTTGTCACTAAGAGATTAAAAATTATTATTATATATTTTTAAATTCTCACAAGGGGACCGCGGAGGTGAGTGGTTAGTGCGTCCGACTCTTATTTGCACGCGTTCCTGGGTTCGAATCCCGGCATAGCCCATGGATTTTTAAGTGTGAATAATATGGTGAAAGTTTTGTAGTGATTTGACCCTTTCCGCAACCCTCAACTTCACAGACGTTAAGCCTTCCTGTATAAAAGAATTATTTTGCATTTTTACATTACTTGCCTTATTTTGAATAGTTTCATTAACAATCTGCATATACATAAAATAAATTTGTCTTATTTTATTATTATTTGCGCAAGTATTACTTTTCCATTTAATTTTTACACTTAATCTAGACAAACTGTAATCAGTTATTATTCCAACCTCCAGGTCCAGTTCAATATTTACTGCAGCTGATTGATGAAGCTGAATATACTGATGATGAGAAATGATTACAGAGTTGAACGAAATGGTCAATCAGGGCTATTTTTTGACAGAAAATAAAGCAATTACCCAACTGACTTATTATTAACTTACAACAGTCTGAGTGGATTCGGATGGTTTTTCCGTCGCATTGTTTCCCCAAGATAGCTCTTGCTAATGAATAAAAACAGGATTATATTAAAGTTTATAAACAAGTACGAGCTGGTACTGAATAGGCTAAAAGCTTATATATAAATAATATGTGGGAAGTTTAGGGGTCGAAAAACCGTTGAGGTCTACCGGCCCTCTGAGTGCTTTCCTTCTTTTTCCGGGCTTTCTCGCGTATCTATCTTTGGTCAACAACCTGAGGTAAAATCGGAGGCTACCTAGCATTTTACCTCAGGTTGCCAACCAAAGATATATATTACCATAAACGTAGAGGGCTGGTCACATTCACTCCTCATGAGTACAAGAGTACTAGATTCCTCTGGGGAGATGTTGAACCCACTCCATTCTCGCTAATAACTACTTTTACTCTCCAGACGCCACACTGACATCCCAGAAAAGCTTTATGGAAAGCACAAGAGTGTTATTGTTTTTCAATATACTGTAAATATACAAATAAAATCTTAAACCCTTGGTTTATTTTTATACTGAACTAAGAAAACGGGGAAGTGATGAAATGGCCGTGACCTCAAAAATTCGATACCGGCACTTTAAATTGGTCAGTCGACCGGAACAGGCTTGAAACGACAAGCCACAAGACTCTTGACAATTGTCAAATCTCCTGTAAAAGTTCTACAATAGAAAAGTATAAAATATTTTCGGTTTAAGATACATTTTAGCCGTAGAAAGTTTTATTCTAGTTAAAGCCGGACGGACGTATCGGCTCATTCGTTATTCATAATTTATTTATCAAAAAGACAACAAACGTTAAGCTATTTTTAGCCTTTTGCTCGTATAACCGTTTCCAACATTTCGTACAATTCGGTCAGATGAGCGATAACGTCCTGCAAGGACGACCCATTGTTCAGGAAAACCGACTTCCTGAAGACCACCATTTATAACGCTTTGCAATGG